CACCTTCTGACTAATCAGTTGTGGCAACGTCTCCCATCTCAGATCAATGACTGTATGTAGCTGACAAGCATCTTCGAAAGGGCCATGGTTCAGTGGATGCTGGGCCTGATAGCTCCAGATCCATGCGCACTAAAATCCTACTCTGCAGAGCTGGCATACACTGTAGCGTATTTTATTGACTTGCGTTTCAACGAATCTGTGCTGCCCAATGATTGGAGTACTAGCAAAATTCCCGTCATCTACAATACATCTATTTATCTGGGTCCTAACTCCTGAAAACTTGCCTATGCATCCATCCTTGAGGTGTTTACTAAAAGAGATAATGTAGGAACAATAAGTCTATGTCCTTCACTTAATCGGACAGGCCGACCGTCGTTGTCGACGATGCCCGCCGTGTGGCCCACAGAGGAGTTAGAGCAGGGACGGTGACTCGCGAGTGAGTTAATTTGCAATGGTAGTAGACTTGCGCTGCACCTACTGCACCCTCTCCTCCTCCCCACCTGCATCCGGCGTCCAGACAGAGTCGAGAAGACCGGAGATGGAAGAGGACGCGGGTGTCTGGCACGGCGAAAGCCCGCACAAAGGCGTACTACCACACTTTCCTGGTGCACAACGGACACTGACCAGGATTTTGTACACCAAGAAAATGGGGGCAGCATGGATCCCGAGTGGCGCGACGTGAGTGTGCAACTGGCCTTGCCGCTGCAGCACAATGTTGGCATCTGTTATGGGTGCGTATTCCCGATAACGCCTGCCTGGCTTCAATGCTATAGATGCTGTGTTGGTCTACAGCATCTACCGCGCGACCCGTTTCAGGGGCACAAGTGTGCCGATAATGTGTTCTTGTTCACCGTGTCAAAAAAGGATGATCTTCAACTTCCTATTGGAAGGCTTCAATCATGTCCCGGGTCTGGTCATTTGAAAACGGTCTTCTCATTAACGGTCAAGAGCCCATTCACCGCCCATTTGTCATTCCTGAATTTCTCGACTTGTTGACCTGCAAACAAGTCGTCAATCGTCGCGACTTCGTCTAATGATTACCAACAAAGTCTCCCCTTCTTCCTTGCATGCTAGTCCTTTCATGATCGACTTATCTCATGAAAGCTTTAGATATCTTCGGGGGAATATCAATACTGAGTGGTCTGTTTTCTCCATTCGTCCCGGTAGGGCTCATCTCAACGCTACTATTGGCCTGTGTGAGTCTTATGTTTTGGAGATCTGAGGAAGTTCATCAAATCTTGGAAGCAACGTATCGGTGGGCTTAACTGATCGCTACGCATTTCGGCGACGAAGGGTGGTCAGACGTAAATGACGCCGATACATAGAAAGATGTGAGTTCCGAGAAGCAGGTAGGACGAGGGATACGGCATCAGATTCCCACTCGAAACCATCATTAGAGATTGCACCCTCACCTGATACAGACCTTAATAATGGGTTCGATTATGATTCCGAAACGTCAGGCGAATTAAATTCTTGTTTCAGCAGCCGAGTTCCTTCTCACTGGATGAAACCTTCAATCAAATTGATCAGCTTAATGAGAAACGTAACCTGAGCCCCAGACACAGAGGTTTGAGTCTCCACCGATGATTAAACTGGGTGTAGTGGGTGACAGAATAAAACAGTTCGTCCACGTATTTCTCACAAACAACCTGCTCCACATGCAACAGAGATGTGCATGTCCTGACTTTCGATGTTTTGTCCGCCATAACGGGAATGGAAAAGTCGACAGCATGCTTGGTGCAGAATGGCGACATTATCGTACGTGATTGGCGCGGACGTGGGTATTTTCGAGTAGGATCATAAGTAGTCCAAGAAAACCTGAGTAGCCGAGATGGGGTCTGAGGTGTGGTTTTTCACTCAAGACTTACATGGAGGCGCGTATGGCTGAATTGACTCATACGATGATCGAATGTCCTGGGACAGGTAAAAGAGGAGAGGCGAATGTAAATCGGGGTGGCTCCGGAGCCCGATTTACCGGTGGCTACCACCGTCTGGCGCGGACCCCGTAAACACAAGAAGTGCGTCTGAGGCCGCAGAAAACACTGTCCACAACTTCTTGATTGATAGGCCGGGTGGCCCAGGAAAGCAGCCAAAGCACGCACACTAACATCGGACAAGACCCAGGTGAGAGGTCGTGTAGTATGGGTCGCAATTCATGTGCTGTCCGCACCTGTTAGTAAACAGGCAATGCCCCCAAAAGGGGCCACGCGGTAGATACGTTGGACCAACACGGGGGTCACACGGAATTCTGGCAGACATTATCGGAAATGCACGTCCATAACAAATGCCAAAATTTGAGGTGTGATAGCAGGCCCACCTGCAGGCTCATACCGCGTACATTGGGATCCTTGCCGCCGCTCTCTCCCCCCCCCCCGCACTATTTGTCGTTGTTTAAAATCCTAATTAAGCGTTTCTTGTGGACCAGGGTGTGTGCAGTTAAGCGCCAAAGTGTGGGTACGGCCGTGCCAGCCACCTTCGACCTCTCCCGCTTGTGGCCTTCTTGACCCGCGTGGAGGAGGAAGAGGAGAGTGTGATAGCCGCTTCGAAAGTCTGCTATCGCTATAAAATAGTTCACGCGCAAGTTACTGTGCCCGTTCTTACCTCGCTGAGGAGCACACAGCAGACATCGACGGTAACGACGGCCGAAATTTCAAGTAAACAGGCCGAACGGCGTGAGAGCTTGATCTCAGGTCGCACGCACATCAAATGGTAGTTTGAAAGGGAGACATATTATCTTCCACGCCTACTGACAGTCTATAAAAAGTCGCAACTTCGATTTTGCCTTCGCCACGAGAAATAAACGAGTCTGAGCAGGACTGCGTGAAGACGAATAAGAACGGCGTAATCCGCTCATAAACCAATAAGTAGATGGGTCGACACCCTACTCGGACCGGCCCCATGATCGCTATTAAGATCCATTGAACCATCCGCAGGAGTGAATCTGATTGGTCTGGGTCAGCCCTTGAACACTTTAACCTACTTCACTCCCTGAATTGCTGATGATGGACAAGAGCAAAGTTCCGGAGACGGGAACAAAATCAAATTTCCTACAATGCAAGTTTTCAATGCTAATCCACCCCCTTATTCACAACACGCATAAGCACTTCAAGTGCATCCACAAGGCAAATCCATTATTGATACACGTATCTACACGCGTTAACTTACCAGAAAGTAGTACATCGAGGCCTGCTCCACCATGTCCCATGCTGGCTTTTCACGAAGGAAATCCGAGGAGAATACTGCGGCTGCTCCAAGCGACGTCACAAGAGATCGGTTCGAACCAGACACCAAAACCAGACAGACACCCGTGGGCAGTGTGTCTGATACCTCATACACCGTCTGCACTCCAGCTGCCTCCATGTTCTGGAGTAGAATTTCACCAGACTTGTCATCGCCCACACAACCCAAGTACGAGCAGCAGATCCTTCCCGAGTCTTGAAGCAGCCACTGAAGCATTCGCATAGTGTTCTGTGCGGATCCACCAGCAACATATGTGAGATCGTAATTGGCAAGAAGATCCTCGTAGAGACCCTTTTGGTCAGGTCCTGAGAGCGTGGCGCCATTAGCTTGTACACCATACTTTTTGAGAAGTTTGCCACTTACGTTTGCCTGAATGTCCAGTAGGGGATGTCCGAGGCCCAGAATGCAGTACTTCTTGCCATGAAAAGACCTTTCCATCGGAAGGTCTAACGCACCCACAGCCGCGGGCCTGCTGGCAACAGTTCGAGTAGGTGAGCCTGGATTCTACAAGCCTTTAACCTCCTTCATTATGACCAATAGTGTGATGCCTCGTGGCAAAGGTCAGACAGGTCTGCTTGCTTGACTAGCCCTTTGCTGGCATTTTGACCAATCCCTGACGCCGACTTCCTATTGGCAGACTCGGACCCTATGAAAATGTAGGCAGGTTAAAATGCCTCCAAAACTCCAATCAGACCGTCCTTTTTGAATTGACTGATCAATGGCCCGTCGCGGGCTCCGTCTCAAACCGCTGGTTTGCGTCGTGTTTCATTGCAGGCATGATTCTGGGGATAGGTTCTGTTCAGCTGCGTCTTTCTGGACCAAGAGTCAACAGCCATGTAGGTCAGGGTAGGGTCTGAATGTCTGGCTTTTTACCCCGTCGGAATCGGCCAGCAAAAGTGCGTAGCAGATGGACCATCAAGTGGAAATCTCTTAGCTTCATTCGCGCCAGGGGTCATGCTGCCAAGCTCTTCTTGTCTGCAAATTGCATATGTGGTCACGATTTGTTTGCCAGCGAAGAAACGTCTATCCACAGTTATTGCGACTAAAACGCCGACGAGGTCAATAGACCACATCCGTACAGCACACCAGTCGTCTGGTTGATCGACATACACAGCTAACAGGATTGCTTCATTCTCGGGTACAGTAAGCGCAGGACGATTGTGACATTTTCCAAAATCTAAGTATTCTTACACATTGGCTGTAGCTTTTACATGAGGTCTCAATATGGAGTAACGAGAAACAAACAGGCAATACAATTCATATATGACTGCCCGTGGTTATTCGGCTGAGGATCATCCCAGACATTTGGCGAATGCATGGAAAAAGTACTTAAGTTTTGTCTTTTTTTCTATTTTTTCGTTGAGTGCATAAATTAAGTTGGTTTTCCCAGAAAAGTTGGGCCAAAGTTTCATCTGCTTTGTCCATCCAGCATGGAGTCACATATTTTAAATTCACCGCTTGAGAATCCCGGGATATATTGGAATTAGAGTGGTTCGTATGCATTTTGAAAGCCTAACTCCGCAGCGAATCGACTCAGAGTGGACAAAGCACCTCACCAAGAAAAAATCATCATGCTTCTAAAATAACGGTAGCAACAAGGCTGTATGTATACAAACTCGACCACTGAAAAATGAACCTAAATTCTTTTTGCCCTGATTGAAGATTGATCATATTACTGCGATGAATATAAATGAAAGATAATTTCCACCCAGCCTTGTGATATGGCCTTACAACAGTGCACAACGTTGATTACTTCGAGCGAGCACTCACCGCTTGTCGTTTTTCCTATTTTTAGGAAGCATCAATAATCATTGTAATAATTACGACATCCTGAGTACAGTACCCTACAAATGACATGAGCTTGCGTTTCTAATGTCAAGTTCATAAAATATACAAGACCTCCAGTTATATAGATTACTCGGAGGTCAGAAAATACGGGTCTCACCAGCGAAAGCGCACCTGTGTCACCCGAAAGTGCCGTTTACCACTATATTCTGATTACAGGAAGGAATATGTATATACGGTTCCGTTCTTCCTTAAAATGCCTTTCAGAGTCCTAACAGACGGCCATGTGGCGGTGATCAGTTAATGCCCGACAGAGGTAACAACAAACGGAGGTGCCGAAACCACTGGAAATATTACAGAGCCTGATATAGTAATTTTTGGCCTATTTGCTGTCATTAGCCAGCTCTGATGGAATTTGGGGTTGGGTTCCCGATACCCAAATGACTCACGTTCGCAACTCAGGTCATCTCGTCAGAACACGACCGGGTCTACCTGAGGCGTCGTTCTGGCTCACCAGTAGGACAATAGTTATCAAACAGAAGTCAAATAAGCCCTCCAAGTTGTACACAGTGGACCGAAAAACCGATCATAGTTACTTCTCCAACACATAACCCAGACGAGGGATATGGCTGACATATGTTTAACCAATCCTTTTCTATGTCCAAAAAGCACGTCTGAGCTAACCTTATAGCTGCTATTACTAGAAGTGATTTCGAATACGTCACCAGCTCAGATGAAATATCCCCGCCAAAGAACATGTTACGGCACCTGACCGAGCATCCCCCATCTCCTCGAATGCAGAGGCAATTTTCTCCACACCATACTCGCGCCTTCTCATCACAGTGCCACTCAACAACGTAGCCCCCACACCCTTTTAACGTCCTCTTCCGGACGTTAAATAGATGCACCGTTCCCGCTCTTCTCCCGCCGGTGATCACCCCACCCGCCACCTCTACCCGTCTATATCACCCAATAATTTACAGGTCTGGTGAGGAATTAGCGGAAAGAATATGCCTTCCTGAGCTCACTTTCCCGAAAACAGGCACGTTTTCGAGACCGTGTGACACGCATATTCCCTGAAAATAATTTCACTTTCGGCTGGACACTAGAAGATGGACCCTCGTATTGGAGATGGCTTTGCCCTAGGTCCCAAAAGGGGCGGGTTATAATTGGAATGAGGGTTAATGTTAGGAGGCTTGGGATTACAGTTATGGCTAGGGTTGCTGTCAGGGTTAGGGCTAAGGTCAGGACAAGGGGATATGAGACCCCGAAATTTAGTGTGAGCCCACCTGCAGTACTGAAGGATCCAAATTCCCGTGTACGACCCACGTTTCTCTTCATTGTTCCTCTGCAGACCTCCGAACACACATAAAGCAGTGATCCGGTTGTATGTTTGTTTGCATACTTTTGTACATATTCCTTTCTGCTACGATTTGGCACTCATCAAACCGGTCGGAATAGCTTATTTGACCTCTCACACAAGACACGAGATAGGAACATCTCGTCCACGTAGTTCAGGTGACTTTGCGCTCAATTCCAGGAGGGGTAAATATTCCCGTGTCTTAACGCTAACGCTAACCCAAACCTTAATTGTAACTCAAATCTTAACCCTAACCCTACCCTTGCCCTGACCTTAACTCCGAGCGCATCCGTAGCCCTGACTTCCCAAGAATTTATCGTAATGCCACCTGTATTACGGGCAGTTCCTGTTACCTTATCAGCTGGGGGTCTATATAAGCAATCTCTACCATCAAACCATACTAATACTTTGCCGAGTATTTTCCGTTTACTATTGCGGTTATCCGTCCACGACATTCGCAGCAGACTCCCAGTTTTGATCGTGAAGTGGTAGAAAACTGCGTCGTACCCGGTGTCAAGACAGAATCAAGAAGATCGTAGGCGGGGGAGTGCACAGGTGGATGGCGCGGCCGAACCTGCACCTGTGGCGCTCCACTCCACACTTCCTGGTCCACAACTTGACAAAGATTTGTACCAACAGAGACAGAAATAACACAAAAGAGGTGGACGGCTGGGCAGCCATGCGCAGGCACATCTACCGCCGGAGAACTGCCGGCGCACACCAGGCTAAGAGGCCCATTGTTTTCTGATCATGGCATGGCAGACGCTCGTAAACCTTGGGGTTTTTGCCGCATGCTTAACAAATAGGAGACGCGCACAAGCCGGTAAGCGTAGGTCTTGGAACGTACTCGAACCCACGAGCTTCCGAATTTCGCTTTGAAAGTTACCCCGACTGAAATCCCAAGGCCTCCCCACCAGTTGGGCTGGACTATTTTCCACAAAATAAGTCATATTCTTATTGCACATCTGCTCTGATATAGTCAAAGTCACCTTCTAAGGGGATAGTTCAGTGTGATTACGCATATACGGCTCCACCTAGGTACGACACGGAAATAGATGTCCCCGTACTGAATATGGTCTTGCGTTAAATCGCAAGGGGCTTGAGGTCAAGGTTAAAGTTAGGACTACGAAGACTGACATTAAAATAAAGACAAGAGAGACTGGAATGACGATTTCTGACTTACTAGCCCTTATCAACCAAATATACCCAACCCTAGATTTTTTGCGACCCCTGAAACTCGAAAATGCTGGTTAGATGTCCTACGCCCTAGTCACCGTGCCACAGGATCGTTGTCCTGTCGGCTGTGACCGGGTTTATTAACAATGGTATAGTGGCGTTCGCCACTCACGTCAGGGGTATGGATGGTTGAAGGTGGCTAACAAGCCCAAAGTAGCCATTCCAGTCTCCCCTATCTTTGACGGTAATGTCATTTTGCCTATATTATGCGCCCCCCTGTGCGGCTGCTGGTAGGACTCGAGAGAGCCCCAAGATAAAATGAAACGAGTGAGTTCCGTAGCACATTCGGTGATCGCCCCTTTGTCATTGTTGGTGCTAGGATTAGGGTTAGTGTCCTAGTTAGCACACAGTATGGCAGGTGGCTTTGAGCTCAATTCCAAGGGACAAATATTCTCAACCTAATCGTAACATCAACCCCAACTTTAACTCCAACCCTAACCTGGACTCCCCGAATTAAGCACAAGGTCACCTATAATACGAGGTGGGCCTAATCCCGTGCCCTACCTGAGTACGGAACGTGTATATGTACCACCCTGAACCACCCCCCAAACAAAGCGTCTTTGTAATAAATTAAAAACAAGTCTGCAACACAAATGCGTTATATTAATCTTAATATCTGTTACGACACTCTGTTCCCCCTCATAAAGGCCCCTATACCACCATTCACTTCTTAAAGGTAACATTTTGCTATAGTGTAGGGGTGCAGATATCCGCCTCCGACACTGATTTATACTGAATCCACTGGCTTTTCATAATGCATCTCAACGGTTTTAAACTTAAATGAGTCATTTTTCCGGGCGATCTGAAATTCTGGCGCCTAATTTTTGACGCCATAGCGTCATCTCTGTAAGTATTTCACTTCTTCCTCATTTTTTCGTTCTTGTTTATCCCTCCGTTTTCGGGTACCATACGCAACAAATTTTGAAGAGCAATTACCTGGCTCTTGGAATTCGCCGAACTTAAATGGATAGTAGCCATGAGAAACTGGAGGGATTACTCACAAACCACGACCCTGGATGTCCGAAGTCAGCGCCAAAACAGCAACCGGTGTCAGCAG